ATTGACCAAAGCAGCTTCGTTAAGTCGCCAATGTAGTATATTTGTATTCTTTAAATAATTAGTTTAATTATTTGAATTTGTATTAGTCCTCGTGTTAAAATTATTGTATTGTCATCCAAAATAATCATATATATAAAATGTATTTTATTAACGATTGAAAATTCCACCAAGATAAATAAGTAAATATACAGAGAGTCTGAACTAATAGTATGTGTGCGTAGGAATTGAAAACAACAATAGTAGAAACAAGTAATATAAAAAAAATATTTTTTAAGTCAATTCCTACTTAGATAAACAAAGAAAATTTTTATTTTAGCTACTTTTCATTAAATAGGTACAATTAATATAAATATGTATATACATATGACAGAATCACAACATTAAGTGGTCGTGTTAATTTTTTATTAATTATCATTAAAGTATCTGTGTCCTAAACCAAAAATAATCATGTATATAAAATTTCTTGTCAATTCATGTATCCAGGTATATAGGGAACAATAATTTAAAAAGCACATAAATGGATGGTACTGATATTTAGTGTCACTTAGAATACATGCATACAATTATTTTAACGACATTATGAAAACAAAAATGTTTAAATGCAATATTTTGGCAAAAATAAACTTAGAATAACCTATTTTTAAAACGTTCTCCTTTTATAAAAAGTAAACAAAATAATAATATTGCTATATAAGAAGATAAGAGTCTGAACTAAGAGTTTTGAAAAATTCACATTTTCAGAATAACCACCAATTAAATTAATTATCGGTGTATTTTTCTTAAAATTTCTCCCCTGTGCTGTAGTAAAATATGGATAAATCTACTTCTAAGTTATATATTTCAAAAATTCTAGTTCAGTCTCTTATTTTAGGTCTGAGATATATACAGGCAAAATATTATTACTAATAGAAGCATTTTCTCACTCAGAAAGGTTTTGAAAATTGGAATAATTTGAAATTTCTGAGTTCATTTTTTGTTAAAATATTGTACATAAATAATTTTTTATAGTAATAATATTCTTAAAACAATTTTACATACGTGTTCTAATCTAAATGACACTAAAAATCATAAATATTTTCCATTTATGAGCTTTAATAAATCACGATTTCCAAGGCATAGTTAGATACTATAAGCACTTATGAATATACACATTAACGATTGAAAATTCTGCCAAGATAAATAAATAAATAAATATATAGAGAGTGTGAGCTAATAGTAGGAATTGAAAAACAATGACTCATAAACTACACGTTTTTTTTTTTTTTTTTGGGGGTCGAACGAAAACCGGAACTGAATCGAAAAAAAATATCGGGTCAATATATCTTCAGTTATTCTGTTACTATATAACCAGCTGGTTTCAATATTTACTTATTTAACACCAATCATATAATTATCAACATACAATGATTCTTGTCCGAATGAGGTACTCATGAAATAAAATTTTAGGGATATGATTTGTTTCCTGGCATCGTAATAACGAAGGAAGAGCTTAAAACTATTTTCAGCTCGAAACATCAATGTGAAACTGTAATACAAAATAAGAGCAACTTCACTAAGCTCCTGATAACTCACTGCTACCATCAATCTAATATATCGGCAATTTACTGCATTACTTTTTTGTCGCGCAATTTTTCTTTTTTTGAATTGAATTCAGTATTAAATTATCTTTACAAAGATATAAAATACTTCGCATTTTGTGCAATATAAAATTTTTGTAAGCATACAAAAGTAAAATACATAACAAATTAAAAAGTGTCCATAATTTTGGTCACCACTGTATATTTTTTAAAGTTTGACTTTATCAATTTTTGTGTGTATGTGTGTGCAAAATCATTCTTTCTCCAGAGACTAGTTTGCAATTAATTCGAGATTATTCTAAACCTTTCAACAATTGGACCTCGTTATTTTTTTTTTCTTCTTTTTTCTCGATTGTTATACTTTTCCGTCCCCCGTATGATGAAAAGGGTTTGAGGAGTTTCCGGAAACTAAGTATTGTGATTAACTTGTGTATCAAGCTGATTCAATTGTGAAATCCAAAATAAATCAGTTATTCCTATAGAACATTAGAATCTATCGAGAAAATACCACTACAGAAAATATTTGAACAGCTGAAGTGACAGTCATGGTTCTATGCGTGACAAAAACGGAATATATTGACAATCTTGTTAAGGCTATTAGATGAATTACCCAAAAATATTAATAAAGTAAACGTTTTTTTCCTTCTTTTTTTTTTCTATTCAATAATAACTTGCATAAAATTCTGATTCATTCATTACAAAACGAAAAACATAAAATAAAAATGTAAGCGTCAAGTACTGAAAAACGTAATAAATCATTTTACCTTTTTAATGAAGTTAGAATAGAATTAACTATGTGTGTCTGTGAATCGTTACACATTACAATACATAAAAATTAATTCTGACCAGCATTTAACCGCTGTTTCGTTTTTTATCTTTCGTATTTCTTTTTTGTGTCTGAATAAGCTAGAAAAATAACGAAAACAATTATTAGTAAGTTAAAGTCGAACAAAGGTGTCGGCAACCTCTTTTAGCTGTTGCGTGCCAAACCAATCTACCAATATGATTCAGTGTCACACAAGACATTTTTGAAACAATTCTCTCGATTCTTGAGGTAATGCATGCAGAAATGGAGAGGTCAATAATATAGATACTTGCAGTTTTATTATGTTGTAATAACTTTATTACTTTCTTAAATACTTCTCCATATAATCAACTACTACACATAATTTATCTTGATTAAACACAGTTCTCTTGATTAAATATAATTCCATTAACTAAATACAATTATCTGGGTTATCATTACAATCAAACTACAATATCAGTTGTGTTAAAACATTCCCGAGAAACTCTCTCTTCTGTATTACACCAGACCACGCCTGCGTGTCGATCTCTCACTGAAAGGATTTCATTTCCTTTGGCCCAAAACAATTCAGCGCTTCGCGCTTCCAAAACACAAGGGACCTTTTTTTTCTGACTGCTCCGCATGAGTTCAAAAACCTTTCTCTCTCAAAACGTAGCAACCCCTCTGAAATCGCGCCGATCTGCGCCAACATTCCATAATTCCCGCCAACAGTAGTCTCAGACACTACATATGTATTACTTTTGCATCCTTTAATGATATTTCTTAACATAAAAATAAACAGCATAAAATAAATATTTCTTCAATAACAATAAAAAAAATTAATTTTACATTTATTATTTATTTTTAAACATATTTATTAAAATAAGATAATGAAAATGTAAAACATAAGTATTTCTCTTCATTACACTTAAATAAAAGATAAATAAAAATTTTAATGCGAACCTAGTACTTGCACTGCCCTACTTTCTTATCGCAAAATCAGGGATATGATTTGTGACTTTCAACTTGACACGATTCTGAGATTCCGTCGTTAAACTATTTCTTTGCGGAAATGAAATATTCTTTATATGAGGAAGGATTTTTTTTTCTACTTTGATATGCAGATCTAAAAGGGAAAATCTGAGCACATCCAATTTTCTCTCATCAAACAATTAAATCTGTCCAGCAATGACATTCCATAACTTACAAACTAGCTATAAATTTATTTGTAGAGATATCTTTCAGATTTTTTTCGGAATTCCGTAAATCTCCATAATTCTGAAAATTTTCGTCAAATAAGGCCCATTACAAATTTATCAACTTCTATCCATTCAAAAATTTACAAATTTGTGAAATAATGCCTAGTACCACTAAGAATTGTACAGCGTGCCATAGGTTGATGACCCCTGATCTAACTTCATATGTAAAATTTTTCAAATCATAGCAAATCGAAATGGATACTACATTCGTATTCTTTATAATTCAATCGAAGATATATTTGAAAAAAAATTTCATAATTAATTTTTAAAATATACTAAAAAAAAAAAACTTAAAAATTATTTTTGGGGAAACTTTGGTTAAAAGTAGATTTTTTATATGGTCCTTTTGGGGGAAAATTCTTTATTGCGCGGAAAAGAGGTTATTTTCAAAAGACAGTTTTTTAAAATTTTTAAATGCTTTTTAAGTAAATTAAAATTTCTATTAATTTTAAAACTTTTTAAGGGGAAATTAGAAAACCAAAAAATTTAAAAATAAACCGTATCATAATTTTGGCCATTTATCTAAAAAATTAATTTTTTCGCCCTCTAACCCCCGATTTTACGCCAATATCAAAATTCCACCAATCCAAAAAGTTTCTATAGGTAAAAACTTGGGGGAATGGAATTTGATAATGGAAATACTGGAATTTTTATATGGGCCGTCAATTAATTCGCTTTAAATATAATTTCCCCTTTGTCATAGCTTACAAACCCCTTTGTTTTTTAAAAAGTTTCTTTTTTGTTTAAAAAAGTTTTTACCTTTTGATTTTGGGAAAAAAGGTTTTTTAATCTTCCGTAAAGAACCCCCAAGGTTATGTTAAGAAAGAGGTGGGGTAAAATTAAAGTTAAATTCTTTGTGGGAAATGGTAAATTTATTGAACTAAATTGAATTTTAGTTTTTGGTAATTTTCCATAGTGATTAAAAAAGGGTTTTTTAAAAATAATTTACCGTACAAGAATGAAATCAAATTTGAAAACTATAAAATAGAATAACATTAATATGAAACTAAAAAATTAATATAATTAACGTAATGATCATTTACAATAATCAGCTATGTTCACTTTAAAAAACAAATAATATAAAAAAGAATCTTAAGTCAATTCCTACTGAGGCGAACAAAGCAAAATTTTACTTTAGTTATTTTTTATTAAATGGTTACAATTAAAATAAAAAAAAGTATGTATATACATATGACATAATCACAATATTAAGTGACAAAATAGAAAGTTGTTTGCCTTGCAATTTTCCACACATTTTCCTTTTTATAAATAGTGTTGAACTATTTTTTATTTGTTTGTTACTATTTATTCGTTAATTAAATTTAATTATTCTAATAAAATGGTATGGTAAAAAAGAAATCACATTCTCAGAATCTAGGCCATCCCAAGTTGAATTCGAAACCACAACCTTTGAATTAGAAGCCCAACGCGCTTCCATTGCGCTAGAGGGATACAACAAACTATTTTCTTTCCTATATTTGCTGTTGGACTATTATTTTCGTTTGTTACTATTGAGTTATTTTTAATTTTATTAATGAATTAATATATTTGAAAGAAAACTGTATTAACATCAAAGTGTCATCCACTACAAGTTTTAAAAAAATGTATTTGAACTTGAATGGATGAATAAAAAATATTTTATTAATGATTGAAAATTTAAACAAGATATATATGTAATAATTCCCAGTAATTTTATCTTTAAAAGCTTTTGATCTATGTATGGTCCAGTCCTTTAAGATAACAGTTTAATTATTTTAATTAGTTATCCGCATACTGGGGACTTCTGGAACTACATCCATCCCCCCCTCCCAAATCACGTGATTTCCCACTGGGTATAAATAGTGAGGTCTCTGGAAAATTCCGTCTTTTCTGTCTTTGTCTTTAACCATGTAGTTGATTGATATTTTAATTTTCTTTGTTCTGTTTTATGTGTCTTGTGCTTCTTGTGATGTTGCAACGCTATACATTAAATTCTGAATAAACCAGATTTACTATTTCAAAGGACTGCCTCGTCGATATCATAAATATGCAACATGAAACTTACAGTAATCTTCACCGCCGATCCCGTTCTTTATAGGATTACTACAGTTACCATTACTACGCACAAGCAATATTAAAGAAACATTTGATGTATATATATAAAACGTTTCAATTCCTTCTATTAGTTCTCTCCCTATATATATATATATATATATATATATATATATATAGGGAGAGAGTGAAATAATGGAAGAGGAATTTAAACATTTTATAGTACAAAATAATGTATTTTTTTAATGGGAGTCTATCATTAGCAATTTTTTTATTATAGCATCTTAGTACGTAATTTATTGTAACATTAATATGAATTTATCAACTTACTTTTACCTTTCATGAAATAGCCATATACTTAATTGAAGCAGTACTAACATAACAATAAGTAAATATAATAAACATTAATGATGAAAAAGTAAAAAAAAATGAATAAATGAAAGCTCTTAATTCGAGTAAACAAACAAGTTTATTTTACATGAAATTGAATTCTTCTACATAAGCTAAGCATAGATTTAGAACATGTATTCAAAAATTAAAATGCGAGATAAATTATTTTTTTAAAAAATATTGAGCTATTATCTAAACAATGATAATTATTTATGAACTTTTCTGAAAAAAGAAAAATATAATTGCACGCGCGTATATGTGCATTTTCTCTAAATATATTAAAGTTCTAAATAAATGCGAACAATGCAAATATAATAATAACATAAAATATACTGGTAGAAATTGTAGATAATAGTAATAATAGTAGAGAAGTTGTATTTGACTTATGTAGTTCTGTAGTAATGTTTAGATGAAACATAGACTCCCGCTTTCTTAATTAAGAAAATTTATCTCACACACATATGTAATTTCGAATAAACGTAATAATTTAAAGCAATAATAAAATGATATTAAGGAAGATCTAAGTTCTTTTCTTTTATGTTATAAGTAAAGCCCTTTCATGTCTTCATTTTGATTCATTACTCTTTTTTTGGCCCTTCATTTATTCAATAACTTATAAAGTTTATAAACTTACAATACCTGTGTGTTGTATCCAAGCAAATCTCCTTATACATTTAAAAGTCGGTTTTTAAAAAGTACAAAGACTTTTTCAAAAATGTTCTCTAAACTTTGTTCTTTTTATGTGTGATGCACCTCGATTTCTTCCACATAGTATGTTTTTTATTATAGCTATCCATTATGCAGGCATATTTATTCTGTTTTAGATTAGATAGAGTCTAATAAACAGGGCTTACTCAGATATATTGCATGTGATCTAATAAAATAGTGATTATATAAAAATATTTATGCAATCTCACTTTTTAAATAAAATATACTTTTTTAAATAAGATAAACAGAAAGTATTTCAATCCCTCGGTGCACAATTTTTTTTAAAACGGACAAGAAAAATTTATTTCTCTTAAGTAAAATAAATGATTTTTTTGTTTTGTTCTAAAATGTATTCTCTTAAATGTATTTTCTTTAGAAAATACATTTTAGAGCCTTGTTTTGTCTAAATAAATAAATTAATTAATCAAATTTAATTTTAATTTCGTATTTTAATCTCACATTGCAGATAACAGTCAAATATTGCAATTTTACGTACAATGACATTTATTATTTTATTTTTGTAAATAGCTATTTAGGGCTGTTTTCGGCTAATGTTACAGAATAGGACACAAATTCGGAATAATTTTTCAGATTTAAAAGTACTCAAACATTAATATTATATTCTGGCCTCACTACCCAATAGAAAATTTCCATATTTTTCATCACCATTTTACCCGATTTTTGAAACATTTTTTTTTTTTTATAAAATGTGTTTCGCTTTTTTCCTCAATACGTAATGCTAAATGAGTACCCCTTTACATGTTAAAAATAAAACAAATTTATTAATGAAATTTTTCAAATTTAAAAAAATTCTACATTTTAAACAAATAGAGTTACAATTAAAAATTTATAAAAATTGTGGCATTTTTTCTGTCTGAAAATGTGTTCCACCTTAAGTTTACACTTTTGTACATACGGCGAAAACAGCCTTAAAAATATATTTTCATCAGTAAAAATATGTAACTATACTTTTTCAATAGAAATACTAATGATAGTAGTATTTAGATAAAAATATATATTCAAATTTTTCTTTTGTGTGATATATTTGGCAGTAAAATGCAGCACATAGCCCAACATTGCAATTATAACACACATAATGACTGTCTTTTCTTTATTTCTTTTTATTTTGTTTTTTTTTTTGCTATCTCTTTTTGCACAAAATGCAGCGCAGTATTGTGGATGCTTCTTTTTATAGAGTTGGTGAAACAAAACGAAAATCACATTCCTTTAGTCTTGAATTCTAGAAAATTTTTCCCCGTTTTTTCTTTTTGTATCACTATAGAGGTCATTCAAAATTTTAAAACACTTAGGTTTTAAAGTTATATTTTAAAATTTTTGGGAGTATTAAAAGTAGTTCCTCCAGCATCAATCCCTTTTTTGTAGTTTAATTTTTCCCACAATTAAATGCTTCAAACAATTATTTTTGGAATTGTGAAAAGTTGATGAAAGAACTAACTTTTCTGAATGAAACGACCTCCACGTAAGTTTTTTTTTAAATTTAAAAAAAATAAAAAAAATCAAAATAGCTAGATCCGAGAATAAGGTGTTTTTATCATAATTTTTTTTGTTTAAAAAACCCTAACTGTTAATATGTAGGGAAGATGCATGTCAGGTGAAGCATTATTTCCCCAACATTCATTTTAAACCCAAAGTATTTATGGTATACCAGTTTCCTTACTGTGTTCTGTATTTCCCAATTTGATGGTTTTATAATACTTCTAAAGAAAACTGCATACACATTTTTCATTTTGTTTCTTTTCCCCATTCCCGGGAAGGGGATCATCTTCAAAGATTTATAATTTGCTTTTTTTGACATTTGGGAAGTCAAAAATGGATGTCGTTTCACCCCCCCGTTAAATTTTAAAAAAGTTTCGGCACCATCATTTGAAATTTAAGGGTTTTTTTTAAATGTTAAACCCGCCCCTTTTTTTTGGTATCGAAAAATTATGGGAAATTTAAACGCCAAACTATTTTTTCATATGTAATTTTATGTTAATTTTATGATGGCTACAACCCAATTTTTAGCATCTGTTTTTCTTTTGGGTAGATACAGCAATTATCATCCAAAATTTTGTTTGGCAGACCCTTTTCCCGAAATTACGCCAACCGCCCCTTTTTGTGTGTTTTCATCCTAAGAGAATTTGGCCCTTTTAAAAAATTTTTTTTTCCATCTGAATACAGTAGCACGACATGGAGATCCATCACCAAATGCTAACTGCTGTCGTTGAACGCATTTGTCTTGAAATACTCCCAATTAAAATCATAAAAAATCATAGCCCGATAATTTTCCCAGTAAACAATTTTCTCTGTGTAAAATTTATTCTCCCAAAAACTACTTGAAGTCTAAGAAAAAATTTTTTTTTCATTATTCCGATACGTTCGGAAAACGTTTTTGGGGATAAAGGGAAAATTTTTCATAAATTTTAGTGTCATGTTTTAAAAAGAAAAATTGTTTTAAGGAATTTTACAAAACAAATTTTTAAATAAAAAATTTCAAAAATTAACTAAAAAACCTTTTTTGCAAAATATTTTGGTGAAAAATTTTATTATAATAATATTTTTTTTATAAAACTGACCCTTTTCAGAGGTCAAATTGTTTTTTAAAAAATTACATTTTTTTAAGTTAAATATTTGAAATAATTCGGGTTTTTTCTTAAAATTTTCCCTCGTTTCGTAAAACGGATAAACCCACTTCTAAGTTATATATTCAAAACCTTAGTTGAGCTTTTGTACAGAGGCAGCTAATACACCCAAAATATTTTAATGGATTTTTAAAAAAGAACATTTTAAAAAAAGTTTAATCTGTTTTTTTTTTACCGAAATATATTCTACTTAAATAATTTTTTTTTGTAATACTATTTTAAAACATTTTATTAGTTTTCTAATCTAAGTGACATAAAAAAACATAAATATTATCCATTTATACGCTTTTAAAATCACGGTTCCCAACGTAGTCGGATACCTTAAACCAGTTTTTTTTTTTATTTATTTATTTTTGTAACTTTTTTTTTGGGTGTCTCAAATTTTTGGGGTCCCCCAATAGTTTCGTATACATTTTCTACTAATTTACTTGAAATCAAATTTTTTTTTTTATTTCCTTTTTTTTTTTTTGTTTGGTTTTTTTTTGTGGGGTTGTGTTGGTGGGGTTGTTTTTTGGTGTTGGTTTGTTTGGTTTTTGGTTACAAAACTTGGGCCAAAAATTTAATTTTATTAATAAAAAATTAAATATAGAAACAAATTTACTATATTTAAAAAATAACAGAGGGAAAATCACTTGGGTGCAACTGTTACTTATTTTAGCGGAAAAAAAACAAGAAAAATGA